TGTGTGTGTGTGTGTGTGTGTGTGTGTGTGTGTGTGTGTGTGTGTGTAGGGGAAGAACAGAAACCGTGCATTTCAAAGTTTTGCATGTGACACAGATAGTTATGGTGGTTGGAGAAAGGACGTCTTTGTTGTGGCTCTTCTGTTTCTCTCTCTGAGATCTCTAGCTAGCTGTGTGTACAGTTAGTGATTTATTATGGTCCCTGATGCGAGCATCCACCAAACGCAATGACACACCGTTAAAAGTTGTGATCCAAGGCCTGATTTATTCGATGTCTTTATGTATGTTTGACCAACTTACACGCTGTTGAACAAACCTATATTTTTGCTTTTTTTTCCGTTGCTGTATTCATTGACCATCAGTGGTGATGTTTCTCATATTGTGGGTGTGGTGAAGTCATTCTAGACTGCATGATAGACTAAGATCCATAGAGAGTGAATGAACTTAAGCAGACTTCAGTGTGAACATCACTAGCAAACACAGGAAGTTCCTAAAGAAATACTTTACTTGAGACAGAAGGACATGAATCACTAATGAGAAGGATCTTGAAGAAAAGAACGAAGGTATTTGGCTTTTATTCAACCTTGGTGTTGTCTTTAGTTCAGAGTTAACATCTCTGTTGTAGATAAAGGTGATTCATTCGTTGGATTATTATCAGCCCACTCATTCAGCCTCCTATTTACTGTCAACCAAGCAGCAGCAAAAAGCCTCTCCCTTGGTTCCAGCTTTGAGAAGCAGTTGTTTCTTTGTACACAAATGATTGAACTATGGAACGATCAAAGGATGGAGGAAATAGGAATTCATTCGCAAGGTGTTTTGTTTTTTATTTTGAATTCCTCCACTTTCATGTTGCTGCCAATATATTTTTATTCATCCACGTGTTTTTTTCTCAGCTAAAAGCATTAGTAACTGTTCATAGAGTTAGGATTTTGACAATAATGATACATATTCTAAATGAAGTGTTAGACGCTCATGAATACATATGGGTCCCGGTGTCTTCAAATACCATTACATATGAGCGTTACGTAAGAAGTCCCTTTGAGTACGAATTGCATTCCCCCATCTGTGGACGTCCCATCTCCACTCCCTTCAACACCATTCCTCCCAAATATTTATCAACCCTCCTCATCATAATCTCATTAATCTCCATGAAACGGAGTAATCACCGACATTATTCCTTTTGGTTTCGTGCTGCTAATAGCATTTCGTCCTCTGGGTCTTTGAAAAGAAACAAGACCAAGCCTGTTGAATATTGCATGAGGGGATGCCTGCGCGGTTGAGTGGAGCCACAGCAGTGTGTTCATAGCACGGGAGCAGCAGGCGCAAATCAGGGATTTGCAATAGAATCTGCAAAGAAATGCAAACATTTGGAAGGGCAGACATCTGTTTCCAACCTCATTCAATTCACTTTTTTTTCCGAAGTCCCCATCTACTAGGTAGCTGCCTTTGGCTGGTGAGAAGCTCTGCTCCGGCTTTTTGGTGTTACGCCCCAGATTTCCCCAACAAGTTGAGGGTTTTGAAAATCAGGCCATTGCTTTTTATAGCTCTAGTTATCATACAATTCCATACCACCTCTGTTTTACACCAACCGACAAAAGGTCGGTCGCGTATGTAGGGCGTTACGATCCAAGGCATCGCAGTCCTCTAATGAAAAGAACTTTCACAATGGAAATACAGTGTGTTTTGTATACTGTGACTTGTTTGGTGCCATCTGTGCAGCTCACTGCCTCGCATGTGAATACGGGAGCGAAGGCAACGTTCTCCTCAGTGGCCTCCTCTCAAGCATTCCGCTCTGTACATCGTCGCTCATTGTTAATTTAAGAAGATATGACACAAAAGTCCGGCTCCCGAAGGAGATGTTGTGATGCGTGTGCAGGTCTGAGGGGAGGAGCTTGCCTAGCCACTGGGTTTCTGCTCTGTCGGAGCTGATCCAGGGAGTCGGCCCGATGAAATATTCAGCCCGTTACAGTCAGGCGGGTTTCTTAGGAGGAGGAAGCGCAATTTATTTTTTGTTGCTCTTGTTCTTGTATCAACCCCCTTTTTTACATCAGGAAAACTCCACAGAGCACGGATGCTCCTCCTCAGCGTCGGTCCCCAGTTCCCATCGACAAAGACGAACACAGTCCTCCATTACTGTTAGCTTAGAAGCTCCGCTGGAGCAGCCCGGGCACTGAGGGGTGCAATAGTGAAGCTTTTTCCCTGCCCTATCAGCAGGGTTTATGGGGTGGCTGATCAATATTGATGACTCAGCTATTACCACGCTATGTGTTTTTCAGAAATCCTTTTCTCTAGTTTGAGATTCATGCAAGCGTCATATTCTATTTTAATAAAATCTTAAGTATTGTAACGTTAACGTGGCACATTGAAAGCCTTTCTCCGTCTTGATAAAGGACTGTGGACAACAATGTCATATTAATAATAATAAATGATAATCAAGATGGAGTACTTGAAGCTCCTTTCATTGCCTTCCCCCACAGCACCTCAATGGTTGCTGTGGGAAGCCAGTCATGTACTTGTATGTTAACCTCTAGCTCTGAGGCTAATATGTTCACAACTTCACCTATGTCCATTGTTTGCATTCATCATTCAGCAAGTTCTGCTTTTTTATCTTGCTCCATTATACTAACGGTGCATGTCTGTTAATTAACAGAAACGTGCCTGAAGAATTCCATTGACAGAAGTGAACGCAAAAAGCTACGGGGCGTCTTTACTTTGTGACGAGGACTCCAAGTGCTCTCCGCTGTGACTCATCGTGTTAATTAATTGGGAATTACCCACCACGTAGTTAGAATCATATTACCCACAGGTCTCCGGCTGATTCGCCAAGAAAGAGGATTTTCAATATTGTATTAGAGAGACCACCTGAGGAGGAAGGAGACTACACTCCTGTTTAGATAAAACTGGAAGTCAGTGAGCTCCTTTGCTGCCATCTGCCTCTGCTCCGCATGTTACGACGATAGGCGAACCATCCTCTGAACGCTGTTTCGCCATTCTCCTTTCTGTACCACCCAAGCAAATGTGCGGCACGTCTTGTTATCAAGTCCAATTTGTCTCGGTTTGGGGGAAATTAATGTCGATGTGGAAAAAGTGAACATTTTAAAAAGCCGCTTGAATGATATTTGAGATCTGCAATTAGGCATAAGGAGCAATCGGTGCTTGTAAAAAGACCATCTGTGTCTTTGATCTCTCCTGATTGTCATCTCTAAAGCAAGTTTCTCTCTGAGAATTTGATGTTTAGGAGCTTTTTCTTTTTTCTACAACAAATGAATATAATAGTCTGTAGAGACGGGGCTTTCTCTATGTCTGTTCTGGAGTGCAGCCAAGTCACTTTGGACTGCTTCATTTTGTTGGGAGCTTTAAATTCCGCCCCCCACACACACACACACACACACACACACTGTCTTGGCACGCGCCGAAGGCTTGTCTCAGAGGACTCTGCAGAGTGCACTGCAACTCCCCCGTCGCTGTAAAGCTGAGCAATCTTTGAATCAGATCGTCAAGGTGACCTGGCAACCGCCAAAGCTCAAAGACCCCCCCGGCGAAAGACCGCGCGTTTAACCTCGACACTCGAAGTATGTTCCTCCGCTCGCCGTGGCCTTCTTTAAAACAGTTCTTCACAAGCAGTCGGCTTTCGGTCAACTCAAAGCACAGCCACGTTATCAGCATAGACGGGCTTAAGTGCAGATGAGAGGAACCGATTAAAGGGAAACAAGCCGGCCGTGTTTCAAAGCCATCGATTTCCACGGGCTTTGTTTGCAAAAGATCGTCGTGTGTAGAAACACTTACTCAAACACACTCGCTTCTGATATCAGAGCTCCACTCTCAGCGCTCGGCAGCGGCCTTTTTTTTTTAACTAAAGAACTGCAGTAAAACTGTGGACACACACACACACAACGCTAAAGCTCCGATTGACAGCGAGGATGCCATTTATTTTATCGTATGACAAGCTGCTCTGCTTCTTTTTTTAATGGCTTTGAATTGAAGGAAAATTGAATCTCAAGATGAGAGATCATGGATGGTAAAAGGCGAAATTGGTTATGATGCTCAAAAACATAAAGACATATTGCCTGTTGTTTCTTTCACGGTTTCTTCTTTTCGATACAAAACGTTTTTTTAATATATATTTTCATTAGTATATATTTCTTTTTTTCAGCCTAAAAGCCTGCATAAGAACATATACAGAGCTAAAGCTGCAGTTTGTAGTTTTATGCAGTTGTGACTCGGCCAGATTTTGGCGGTGAGGATAAATGCCGCTCATTCTGAATCTGTCATAAGACCAAATCAATTTCACACTGCACCAGTGGGCAACTGGGTTACAAGCTGTCTGCTCTCAGGTGGCAGGTCAATAGACCACCCGTTCATTTCTGCATGTAGACTCAAGCAACAGGCTGCTTTACATTTTATGATCCAGAGTGTTTATCTTTTTTATTTCATGACTGTTAACATTGTAATTTAATAAAATGATGCAATATAGGTAATGACATGTACGTTTTAAGCATAACAACTCTTATAGTTATTGATTTTCAGAACAAACTTTGGAAAATCAATAACGCCATTATCTTCCGCTGGAGAACTACTGAACATGTCCGCATGTCTCCAGCCCCCCCCCCATCCCCTCCCTCCATTGTGAGCCTTTGTAAAGAATGAGTCATTATTCTCTCATTTTCCGCCTGCCTTCGGGTCCCATCCTTGCCTGCGATGAATTATAGATGGTGAGCCCGAATTGACTGGTTGATAAATGTGTAATTAGCTTCTGGAAGTAGTTTTTAAATTTTTTTGTTTGAAAAGATAGTTTCAAACTCGGGGTGTTGTTTGCGATCCATCAGACTGGAAATTCACATCAGATGAAAGGATCTGTTTGTGAAAAAAAACGAGTTGGCTCTTTTGTTATCTGTCTGTTATGCCATTGTGTTAACAGTCATTTTGTTAGTATTGATTGTCATCTCTCTCTGTGTGTCTGCTGTGCTGCGCAGTCATTTTTCCTGCTGGATTTAAATTAAACTGAAGGATGTTTTGATCAGATTTGTCATGCAAACTCTCTCTCACACACACACATAAACCTTTGAGGTGTATGTGAGCTGTCGCACCTGTGATGCACGTGTGTGTGTGTGTTCGCTGTTGGATCCATAAGCTCCACGTCTAGGGGACTCTTGTCAGCCTTCAACAACAGCTAAATGATAACGGTGCCAGTGAAGATCCTTTTATTCCTTTGCACAATAAAAAGCTTAACGATTAATGAGCCAACGCCTTTTTTTGTGTGTGTTGGGGGGTTTAGAAAAAATAACTCTAATACCCACAATTCAATGGGGCCTTAAAAAAGAAGCGCAGCTGTTTGAAGAGACAGATTATCTTTTATTCTGCCAAAACCTTCAGCCAGTGACATTTAGTAGTTGCAATAGAGTGAGAAGGTGAAGGTGGCAGATGTGCCGCACGCTTTGTTAGTAAAGCACAGAGCACCGCTGTGTAATGTCAGAGGAAATCGGTCCATCCTGGTCTGAGAATGGCTGTCGCCACCGCTGCACGTGCTGAAATGACTACACGAACTACAAAAATAACCTCACCGACCTCTGCTCTTCTCCTTCTGCAGTTGGGACGACAGCAGCTCGGTGAGCAGCGGCCTGAGCGACACTCTGGACAACATCAGTACGGATGATCTGAACACGGCCACCTACTCCGCTGACAGCTCATCGCGCAAAAGCAAAGGAGCGCAGGTGAGGACACGTGCACGAACCGCTCGGTCACGCCCTGACCTTTCCTCTAGCGCCACCATCAGGTCAAAACGTTTCATTTATTTTCAATACTTTGGTTCTTCGCCAAAATACCTGCAAAACTAGCGGCATTCCCGTCAGCCTCAGCTGTTCCTTCTGTTTAGTGCTAACTAGCAACAGTTTCATGCTAACATCCTAAACTAAGATGGTGAACATGGTATGCATTACACATGCTAAACATGCTAGCATCATCATAGTGAGCATGTTGCCGTGCTAGCATTTATCTCAAAGCACCACTGTGTCTACATTCAGCCTCACAGAGCTGCTAGCATGTAGCTATATGTCTTGTTAGCTATACAGCAGCTTGTAGATGGAGTTAATTGACATCAGTGGTACAGTAATTACCTTCCAAGCCAGAACTCATTATGTGGTGTGATTTTTATTGCGTATTCTTCTTTTACACAAGAAGTTCAGTTTACCGGTCACACAGGGCTTTACCTCTATAAAACAGATTCTGCCTTTGTAGTTTGTAGTCCGGGTAGTATTGACCAATCACGTTCGAGCAGGCTCCTCCGCGAATCGCCACCTTATTGTGGTGGAGGAGTTTGAGTGGCTCAGTGATCCTGGGAGCTATGTTGTCCGGGGCATTAGCCCCTGGTAGGGTCTCCCAAGGCAAACAGGTTTCAGGGGAGAGCCCAGACTAAGAGCGGTTCAAAACGACCCCTATGATAGTTAGCCCACGGACTTTAGCCACCTCGCCCGGACCAGGAAAACCGGGGCATCCTCCCGGAGCGAGACCCAGGAGGGGAGCTCGTAGGCAAGCGTCTGGTGGCCGGGCCTTTGCCCATGGGGCCCGGTCGGGCTCAGCCCAAATAAACACCATGAAGCAGCCACCCTCTGGACCCACCACCCGCAGGGACAAGCATCGGGGTCGGGTGCTATGCAGACCGGGCAGCGGGTCGGGCGGGAGGCCTGGGCATGCCAATCGCCGGCGGCATAGACTAGCTCTAGGGACATGGAACGTCACCTCGCTAGCGGGGAAAGAGCCAGAGCTGGTGCAGGAGGTGGAGCGATACCAGCTAGAAATAGTTGGACTCACCTCCACACACAGCGTTGGCTCTGGAACCAAGCTCCTGGAGAGGGGTTGGACTTTGTCCTTTTCCGGAGTTGCCCAGGGTGAGAGGCGCCGGGTGGGAGTGGGGATACTCACGAGCCCCCGGCTGAGCGCCGCTGTGTTGGAGTTCTCCCCGGAGAACGAGAGGGTCGCCTCCATGCGCCTACGGGTTGCAGGGAGCAAGGCTCTGACTGTGGTTTGTGCTTATGCACCAAACAGCAGTTCGGAGTATCCGGCCTTCTTGGAGTCGGTGGGAGGGGTCCTGGAAAGATGGAGCGGGAGATCGACAGGCGGATCGGTGCGGCTGCAGCAGTAAAGCAGGCGCTGCACCGGACCGTCTTGGTGAAGAGGGAGCTGAGCCGGAAGGCAAAGCTCTCAATTTACCACTCGGTCTACGTTCTTACCCTCACCTATGGTCACGAACTCTGGGTCGTGACCGAAAGGACAAGGTCGCGGCTACAAGTGGCCAAAATGAGTTTCCTCCGTAGGGTGGCCGGGCTCAGCCTTAGAGATAGGGTAAGGAGCTCGGTCATCAGGAGGGAGCTTGGAGTCGAGCCGCTACTCCTTCACGTCGAAAGGAGTCAGCTGAGGTGGTTCGGGCATCTAATTAGGATGCCTACTGGACGCCTCCCACTGGAGGTTTTCCAGGCACGTCCAACTGGGAAGAGACCCCGGGGAAGACCCAGAACACGCTGGAGAGATTACATCTCCCAGCTGGCCTGGGAACGCCTCGGGATCCCCCAGAATGAGCTGGAACATGTTGCCGGTGAGAGAGAGGTCTGGGTCGGCCTGCTTGGCCTGCTGCCACCGCGACCCGACCCCGGATAAGCGGTGGAAAATGGATGGATGGATGGACGTTCGAGCAGGCTTTGGTTGAATGCGGGTAAACTGTCCGAGTGGAGAGTAAAAGAGGCGGAGCTCTTTGGCTGAAATCCAATCTGGGAACCCGCTATCGTCTTTTCATTGGTTTAAAATGAGCTCGTAAACTGGCTACTTGTGAAAGAATCCGGTTGTACACGTTGTCTCTCAACTTCAACTCCAGTTTTAAAGTGCTCCTCTTGGCAGGGAGGGTTTAATGGAAGATGCTGTTTGGTTGCATCGCGGGAAACGTAGGTAGTGTGTTTGTAGCTTGACCCATACCAGGAAGTGAAGTAAGGACATCTTGGCAGATTTTGACCATTCTTTTTTTAACCTGTCTCTTATGAGTCCCTCAACTTTATGAAAGTGCAGTACTAAATCCCCGGAGTAGCTTTTTAACACAAAACAGGACAGGGAAAGTTTACAAAGCAGTTACAGAAAATGAGCTGTAAAAGACTGAAAATAAGTCACATTTTTGTGCTATAAAAAGATTGAATTGCCAGATCTGACAAAATATCTATATCAAATGCGGAGCTGCAAGTGTGCTGGTTTAGCATGAAACCCAAGGCCAGGCTGTGTGTGAGCTCTGAAATCACAGCTGAGGGAATTAACTGTGAACCGAAGGCCACCGCTCAGCTCTCCTCGCAGGCGTTAGCTGTATTCTGCCAAGTATCTTTGGCCCCTCATGAAATACTCAACAGACCGGGCTCTTAAGAGACTCTGGTGTTGCTAAGGAGACCGGCCATCTGTCAAGGTAGGCTAGTTATCACTGCTGTGTGTGTGTGTGTATGGGCGTATTTGCACGAGTCCCAAAAGAGGAGATTTTGACATGGGTGATTCCAGAGATAGCTACGACTTCACACACAAACACACACCCCAATGCTCCGTTGGTGCAGGGACTTATATCTCGCTGTGTTGGCTGTATGATCTTACGTACTCTTTTAGGTACTGCTGTCATTGTTTTACAGAATAATCTATATGTGCTTTCTTTGACCCCCACCCCCCAGTCCCAGAAAGGAAGCAGGTCCAAACATGCAGAGCAGGAGGTGAGCAGCAGCTGGGCCGGAGCCGAGGACCTGAAGAAGGTGGAGGAGGAGCTGGAAGCGAGCATGGACCCCGGCAGCGGCTCCTCCCGCTGGAAGCCCTCCTCGTCCTCCTCGTCATCCTCTTCCGCTCAAGCCCAGAGTCAGTACGAGGACGCCGGTCAGAAGGCCGCCGCGCTGGCCCAGATGTCCCAGACGGGCTCGTGGAGGCGGGGCATGACGGCCCAGGTGGGCATTACGCCACCCAGGACCAAGGGTACCTCCGCTGCCCACAAAACACCAGGTGGGAGTTGTTTTAATATCTATAATCCACAGGTAGCAATGAAATACAGTAGATGTGCCTTTGCTTTTAATATTCATTTTGGGAGATGTTTTGTGATGGAGAGTCGCAAATTGTAGCATATTTGTCGCTTTTCACTGCAGCTGAGCTGTGATAAACAGCCCACTGGCTGCTGGCCAAAATGTACACAGGTGATTAAAAAACAAACAAGCGCTGGGCCAAGAATCTGCTGGGGGTTATGTTTTTTGTATTTGTGCTAATAAGTCTTTTTGCAAATTTACAGGTAAAACTGATGATGCTAAGGCCTCGGAGAAGGGCAAGGCGCCTTCCAAGAGTTCAGCAGCCATCCAGCGCTCACCCTCCGATGCCGGGAAGAGTAGCGGAGATGAAGGTAAGAAACCTCCCTCCGGCATCGGACGCCCACCCACCACTGCGTCTTTTGGATACAAGAAGATCCCCGGTGCCAGTGGTACCCTAATCACCTCCAGCGGGGCAACGCTCGCCAGCGGCTCAGCCACCCTGGGCAAGGCGCCCAAATCCTCAGCTGCCCTTGGCAAAGGCACAGGCATCGGTGGTGTGCGCAAGACCAGCTTGGACGGCTCACAGCCCCAGGATGACGGCATCCTACTCACCTGCAGCACCTCCAAAGTGACCCTGCAGTACCGCTCTCTGCCCAGACCGGCCAAATCCTCCAGCGGAGCAGCAGCAGGGCGCGGCGGGCACCGCTCCAGCTCCAGCAGCATCGACTCGAACGTGAGCGGCAAGTCAGCCGGGGGGGCGGCAGCTGCGGTGGCTGCGGCGACACAAGCGGGCGCCAAGCGCAGGGACGGAAAAGTGGGCTCCGACCGTTCTGACCGCTCCAGTCCCATCACCATCAACCAGACGGATAAGGAGAAAGTGGCGGTGTCAGACCAGGACGCCTCAGCAGGACTATCCACCTCTCCGAAGTCCAGCCCCACCTCCAGTTCAACCGGTCAATCAGGCCTCAGGCAGCCGGGCTCCAAGTACCCCGATATCGCTTCCCCTACGTTCCGCAGGTCAGACACACAAAACATGCACGCGGCTTCAGTTCTGTCTTTGTCCCTCGCCGTGTGTTTCTACGTGACTCAAGCATTTCATCACATGCTGTATTTGGTTAATAGCTACAAGGGATGTTTTTTTTTTTTTTCAGTACAGCAAGCGCGCCTTTAGCTGCAATATAAGTTCAGGTCTTGCAGTACTTAGATTGTACTTTGGATTCAGGTGATTCTGATTCTGTCTCTTTCAGAATTGAAGGCTGTTTTCATTCATTATCATTTCCTGGTGCAGACTGTTCCCCAGACTCCTGTAACAGATAGGGGGCATATATTGAAGACCTCGTCTGTAGTGGTAAAGTCTCGCCAAAAGTACTCCGGCAAATTTAGATATGTTTTGATGTGCAAGATCAATACATGACATTTAATAAATCACATTTCTGCACCTCCACAGGAAGATTGATTGAGCGTGTTCACTCGGCTGCACAGCCGATGGGGCCATCGCATAGATTGTCCGCTGGTGTAGGCGATAAGCCACTGCAGATGAAACATATATTTACCCCGCAGATGAAGGGGCGATGGCTTTTCATTCGGGTTCAGCCAAATCCAGCTCAGCAGTTCTTGATCAGAACAGACAGGAGACAGGAGTTTCTCGCCTCGCCGATCCCTGACTCATTAGAAGCACGCGTTCTGCAGGCGCGGCCAGACAATCGTCCCTATCCGATCTGTCAGGCTGACCCGTTTCATCTGCATGCCTTCAAGCTTGCTATATTTTTTTCACCTTTATATTTCATGTGATTGCGATGACAGACTGGGACAGGCGCAATATGAGTAGCAGGCTGTCTGAGCATATGTGGGAGGCAAGCGGAGTTGAGTGGCCTAACAGATTAGGTTCTTAAAAGTCACAGGGCTGAAACGTGCAAAGCTGTGAAAGCAGATGTGTCGATGTAAGTTACTGAGGATCCGCCGCTGAAATGAGGTGGAGTTTGCCGCGAGGGATAAATGTGTTGAGAAGTGTGCTCAGTATTTTACCCGTAGTTTGATGTTGGTGTTACAACAAAGATGTGGGGATGTTTGAGTTGCAGTAGTTTCTTGATGCCTGTGACCACTGCAGTAATACAATATCACATGCAATATACATTAGCTAACCTCAATGTTATCCACTTTCTCAAAGTACCAAAATGAATTAATTTTCCAGTATGGATCTTGCAGAGGCTCATCACTTGTCCTTTGAGCATTTCTGAATGTCTGCACCCACCTCTCTACCCCCAGATTGTTTGGCACCAAAGCCAGCAGCAAGGCCAGCTCTCCGGGCACTCCCGACTCTGGCAAGTGCCCCTCAATACTTGGCAGCCCCCACAGCACGCTGGCGAGGCAGGCCAGTCTGGACTCGCCCTCCTCTGGCACGGGGAGCCTGGGCAGCGCTTGCGGCCTGAGCGGCGGCAGTAGCCCGCTATACGGTAAAACCCCAGACCTGTGCACCGACTCCCCGGCGTCCAGCCCGGCCTCTGGCCTCTCCCTGCCCTCCAACGCTCGGCCCTGGCCGGCCTGTAGCTCGTCAGCTGGCAGCAAGGACACACTGAGCTGCCAAAGCATGACCAGTCTGCACACCAGCTCTGAGTCCATTGATCTCCCGCTGGGCCACCACGGGCCCAAGGTTACACGAACCGGCAGTGTCAAGTCCACCCTGTCTGAGGGGTGAGTAACGGGGAATACGATTGGGCTGAATCGTATTCATTGTTTCATTTGAGAACAGAGACAAATAGTATAGCTCTTTATCCTAAGATATAAACATTAAAGCAGAGGAAGCCTCAGCAACATAATTAAAAGAAGAAGAAGAAATTGCTTGGTTGGATTTAGGTTTCTTTTTCCAGCATGGTTTTGGTATTATCCTTCTTTCCAGAGTCTTACCCTTTTACTACTCACTGACCCACCTCACATACCAACTTGTCCATGGTTAGTCTATTGCCTTGACCAGGTACCAATCTTAGTGGTTCTGGGATCATCATTCAACCTATTTAAAACAATCAAGACACTATTAGTTGTGGGTCTGAAGCCATGCTAGAAAAGTCCCACAATAAATTAAGATCATTCCAGACGCTCATTCCCATGAGAAGTCTTTATCAGGGTGTTTCCATTGTTTTGTCCACATACTGTGCATGCAATACATAAACAGAATGAAAAGTAATCATGGTAGTTTATTTTCCCTTACTAGCTTAGCTGTATGTCTCAAAAATGAAACAATTGATTAATATTTAGATCGGCCTGTTTATATATTAGTGTCTGTACTGTGATACATTAGTAGTGTCTTTGTTTTCTTCATTGTGTGTGTCTTTGTGTATGTGTGTGTGTCAAAGGTCAAGTTTGTAAAATGTGACCAGAGTCTTTTTCTCATGTATATCAAACAAAAATGTTTTCTGTTGTTCATCTAATTCACTCATCCTTTGTGTTTTAACAGCATGCCTCTTGACAGAAACACGCTTCCCAAAAAGGGACTGAGGTACAACACATCTGCAGCAAGAGCCCATTCTCAACTGTTAATCTGTTAATCACCCACATAGATCATTAGTATACATTTGCATGAAAGTAATCATTCTGATATCAACTGTACTTTTCACGTTGTTGTATGTGTGTTGTATGTGTGGGTGGCACGATGAAACACCGTCTTTAGCAGTGATTCCCAACCAGAGTTTCCTGTAATGGATGAACAGTTAAAATAGTTAGCTTAAAGTAATGAATATACGGGTAAAATATTTTGCTTAAAGTAATGAATATACGGGTAAAATATTT